ATCGCCGACAGAGTATAGGCGACGACTTTGGCCACAAAAAAAATTAGTCGCTAATTTGTTTTGGCGACCAAAAATGGGGCTTTTGGCGACCAATATTTTGGTCGCCAAAAGTGTCATTTCCTGTAGTGGTATTTAATAATATAATTCAATACTTCAAATTAAATGTATTAAACGATAATCATTTAAGCTCGTTTAATAATTATAATTGACCTCACTTAAAAATTGAAGTGTCTTTTAAAATATAGGTTAAAATTTAAGCAAATTTTAAATCATATCAAACTTATTTTATTCTGATTGAATTTATAAAACATTATTGTAAGCTCACCACTACCACTACCACTACCACTACCACTATCGCTACTGCTAGGGGTATTTTATAACATAGTTTAGCATTTAAAACTAAATGTATTAAATGATAATCAATTAAACTTGTTAAATAACTATAATTGATATTACTTAAAAATTTAAGTGCCTCTTAAAATATAGGTTAAATTTTAAGAAAATTCTAAATCATATCAAACTTTCTTAATTCTAACTAAATTTATAAAACACTATTATAAACTTACCACCACTACCACTACCACCACCACCACCACCATTGCTACCGCTACCATCACCAAAACCATAATCGCCGCCGCCACTACTACTACCACTACCACTACCATCACAACCACAACCACCACCATCATGCCGCCCCACCACCACCATATCTACCACCACTATCGCCTGAGCACAGGCCCGCCAATCCTCCTGAGGCCCAATTACCCCTTGGGCCTAGGCTTGGGCTTAGGCCTGGGCCATGATTTTTAGCAAGTGGGTTGACCCGACCCAACTCAATTTTTTTGGCGAAAGCCCACTAAGCTCAATGGTGGGCCGGATGGGGCCGTTTTTACACCCCTAACCACAACCACTACCGTCACAATTTTCCTTGTTACTACAAGTACAATCATCATTTTATTACTACTATCATCACTACTGCTACCACTGCCACTATACCGCCACTGCCACCACTGCCATTACCACTACCACTACGACCATCATACCTATTATCCCAGGTAGGCAACCCAAGAAGCGGGGTGAATTGGGTTATTAAAAATTTTACAATATTAAAATTAACACAATATTCAGAATTTTAATAAATAAAAAAAATAGAATAATAATTATCAATATAAAAGTAAGAGAGATAGTGAGAGACAATCAAACATTGAGATTTATAGTGGTTCGGCACGCCAAGTCTACGTCCACTCTCCAAGGAACCTCCTTGAGAATTTCTTTACTATCAATTGAATAAATACACCACCAGGCTTCTGGATTTGGCACAGGACTTACTCTTATCTGTTGAGCCTCACTCAACAATAAATGTCTTACCCGTACAAAATCTCTTACAAAAATAATGAATAAAAATAAGTGGTACTTAAACCTTCTTTTACAATAATTCTCTCACAAAGAGTAGACATGAAAGTGTAAGAACAAAGGCTACACTTAGATCTGAATGTGAAAGAGCAGAATACAATATACTCAAAATTTTGGAGCACAAAGAAATTTTTCTCTTCGAGTTCTTGATTTTTCCCCACACACAACACTTCTATTTATACACAAAAATATACCCGTTGGAGGTAAGGCGCTCATTGCTAACATCATGGATGACATCAGTTTGGAAGAGAATCATGTGGAAGAAAATTTGCACTCTTGCAAATTTGAACATCTTTAGGTATTAGTCAAAAGTGTACAAAAAAGCAAAAAGAAAAGTTAATTTGAATTATATCATGTATGACTTTCCATATGCTAATAATTAATATTTTCATATGTTAATATTCAATGCTTCCACATGCTAATATATATGATGCAATCAATGTTGTGTAAAAAATATAATTGTTCCCGTGATGTATGCTATTTGTATTATATGCATTATATATATATAATGTTATATATATAATGTTCTAATCAAATATTTGCACATACAGAAAAATCTCTTTAAATGATATTTATGATGGATCTGAAAATATATGCCCTCTTTAAAATATTATATATGTTGTAGATATTTTAAACTAAATATATCTTACCACTTCATATCAATTTTGTCAAAACAAGACAATTCATTAATATCAAATTTGTCAAAGTAATACAATCAATTAATCAATTTTGTCAAAATAATATAATTAATCAATTTTAATTTTGTCAAAAAGTGAATATTGATTGGCCTAAATTTTCAGAAAGTGGATAGTAGAGTTTTCAAAAATATTTTTATTTAAATAATATTTAACAAATATATATATTTTAAACAGATAATATTTTGTGTCAAATAATATGTATATTAAAAAATCTAAATTTTTGCAAATAATATTTTAGACATCATCAAAATTAAATATGATACTTAACAATACCATTACCACCACCATCACAATTACCACCATTACAATATAAAAATTAAAATATATAAGTTGAAAATAATAAATTTCAAATTTGATCTTAATATGATTACCACCACCATCACAATTACCACCATTACAATATAAAAATTAAAATATATAAGTTGAAAATAATAAATTTCAAATTTGATCTTATGCATATCAAATAATTTATTTTTAATTCAACACTTAAATTTTTATCATACAACTTTTCACCTTAAAAAATTTAGCATTCAGTTTTCAATACTTAATTTTCAGCATTCAGTTTTCAACTTTATCAAACACTACCTTAGTAATGCATGTTTATTTTCGTAATGTCAGCCAAACAACAGCAAATTTCGTTTTATTTTTCCAAAATTAATTTTAGAAGTTTTCGTTTGTTTTTAATAATTTTTTTATATTTTAGTCAATTTTTAATAATTATTAGATGCACCTAATCAATATACATCTAAAAATTAAAACAAATTGACTAAATATTAATATATATATATATATATATACACACACAAAAAACAAACAAAAATTGGAACACATTCATTTTGTTTTATTTTCAATTTTAGAAATAGTTTTTTGATTTTAGGTTTCCGTTTATTTTTAGTGAATATTTTTTTCATATTTTAATTTAAAAAAAAAATTGATGCATCTAATCTTTAATTATCTAAAAAAAAAAAAATTTAAATGACTCAAATATTAGGGAAAAAAAAAGTTCAGTAAAAATAAATAAATACCCACCTAAAATAATTTCTAAAAATGCAAACCAAACAAAGCCATTTTTTCTTTACTTCCATTTCTTTTTCTTTAACAAATCTTAACCAAATCACTAGAGAAATTAGGTGATAAATAATGATGAAATTTAATCACATGTTTTTTTTTTAATCAACAAAGAAAAATTTCATTAAAAAACATGAAATTAAAGGTACAAAACGATGACAAGTATCGAGAAAGATTCAAGAAAGTACATACTATTCCAACTATTACTACTCAGAATCATCTAACCAATCCCTCGTGAATTGGGTTATTAAAAATTTTACAATATTAAAATTAACACAATATTCAGAATTTTAAT